AGGTCAATCTTGCCTAGTTTAGCGGGTTAAGCCCTTTGAAAATTGGGGAAAAGGAGGAAGAGGGTAAGGAAATTCTCACCTCTAAGTGTTTCTAGTGAAGTTTAATCCCACGAGATCACAAACCTTTTTTTTTTTTTTCAGAACAAATGAACCTTTCTACTAGACCAAACAAAGCTTGATAATAAAAAAAAAAAAAAAAAAAAAAAAAAGCTTGATATTTAACAAAAATAAGTTAAGTTTGCAAGAAAAAAAAAAAAAAAAAGGCTAAACAAGAGATAGCTTAAAATGGTCACGTATTTAAACTATCAAGTATTAGGATTCTCCCTATCAACCTACAGCTCATGGTATTCGTTTCTTAGTATCACTACAAGATTCCGTAATAATTAGCATAAGATAAGCTTTACATAAGTTATAAGTTACATCGGTTAAGGAGCTGACCAAAGTATTAAAGAAGTCAAGCCATCTTGAGGGGAATTAATTTTGGCACACCAAAAATGATTTTGGCATACCTCTATGTAAGAGCACAATTTTCTATGCTCTTCTCACATAGGAGTGTGCCAAAATCAATTAAGCGTGTGTCAAAATCAATTTTCCATCTTGAGTCATGCTCATTTTGGGTTTTAAACTTTTCAAAGACTTTGAATTCTGTCAATTCCTTGAAAGTTCTGAAGCTTTTACAATACGTAGAACAAGTGTATTAATCATTTAGGAAAGCTATAGATCGGTTTAAAGATTTTGCTCCCAGATAATCTAAATTGGGTCAGTTAGGCCTCATTTTTCACTCCTCATCCAAGGCACCAGCCCAAATTAAGACCCAGGATGGATCCGTGGACAGTTTCTCAAAACAAGTACTTAAATATTACTCATTTACTCGCAGTAAAATTTATAGGCAAGCATTCTCATACGGTCATATCGACCACAATGACAATTATGCATGTTACTAAGGGCATCTCCAGTGATTGTAGTTAGGCACTTGCTTGTAATTTAGAAAATTCCCTGAAAACTAGCTTGACCATTGAAGCTAGAAAATGAAATTAGCTTATAATCTTATGTGACATAACAAACTAATTTAAATTAAGGTTTATTTAAATCACTAGTAGCTACCCAATGGGGCACAAACTAACTACAAAAGAGAATTAGCTTATAATTTTATGTGGCATAACAAACTAATTTGCTAATTAGCTTACCATTAAAGTTGCTTTAATACCAATTTTAGATTACTAAAAAATTCGTATAAACCATCTATCATGCAAGTTGAAAAAGCTAAAAAGTTATCAACTACTCGTTACAAATACGAGTACTTTTCAAACATTTTTACACAAACACCAGTCAATCGTTATAAGCCAACAATAATTATACTACCGTATAAAGCTTCTCCTATAATCCTACCCCATATGAAAGCAGAAAGTGGGCTGGTTTAGAATCAGTTAAAGGACAACACACACCAGCCCAGAAGTAGCAAAATGTATGGGCCGGATAAGCCCTGAAACTAACCGACCAATGAAACCGACTTATGGCCTCGCCAAAGGTTCAGCATTAAATTACACTTCGTATAAAGGACCAAAATGAGCCAGTCCTTTAAAATGGGTTTTAGGTTTTGCCCATTTAGCACTAATATTCATCTGCCCTAATAGCCCAAGAAAGTTAAGGTCACGTAATGACATAAATTTTATCCATTTAAAAGTTACACCATTTGAAATGATTTGGCCCAATAACTTTTACACCACTAAAAGATTGAATCAATAATCAACATAATATTATATATACATATTATACTAAAATAGACACCGAAAATGACACATGTCACTTCCTGATATAGTGCTATTCCCTCCAAAACCTATTTCTAAAAATATAAATTCTAATTTATTTTTCTTACTATATTTCTTTTGTTGGCAACTGTTTTTTTTTTTTTTTTTTTTATAGAAACTAACTACATTGACTTTATAGTATGTAATAGCAACAAAATATTTGTAATAATAATAATAATAACAATAATATATTCTAAAATAATATATTAGTCAAATGGATTATGTTAAATAAAACATCTTTACTTATTATTATATCAAATTAAGATTAAGAATCAAAATTTTTAATTTTTTACGCATTATTCATAAAACTTGCAATAATATAGTTATATTGATTTTTTTTTTTAATCAATCATATTATTTTCATATCAAACTACACTTTGAACATATCAAACTACACTTTGAAAAAAACAAAAGGCATAGTTAACTATAACTATTTTTCCATATTTTTATCAATAAGATTATATTGAAATAAACACCATATATGATTCAAGTCACTTCCTATGCAAGAAATTTCAACCAAAGTCCTTTTTAAAAGAAGAAATAATCATGCCTACATTTTTTTTTTTTTTCATTTTCTATCCTTTTTATGATCCACTTATTAATGCAACATACAATATATATAGTTAGTTTTCTTTTAAAATAACACTACACTTAGAAAGTTTTATTTTTCTGATTTATTAAGCTTATAAAATATCTTAGTTAATTAATTACCTAATATATTAAACATACACTATTTTTAGATATATTAATGGGAGGGAGCCCAGATTAATCTCTGAGATTAACATTTCAGTTTATCTCCTCTCACAACTTTATGTATTGATTTATGTGCCATTTTATTAAATAAAAGAAAAACAATATATTGTGAGAGGAGATATATTTACAGATTTATCTCAGAGATCAACTTGAATGTTCCCATATTAACGGTAGATATACAATTGCTTAACTCAATGTCTTTTAATTTGCCACATTGACATATTAAGTATTTAAGTGTATAAATTTTTCTTACACATTTTGGCACTTCAATTTGATATGCTAAGGAAATATGTATCTTTATTTTCTTATTTAATCATATCCTTGGGTAATGTTACCAAATCATTGAGTCAAACTATTACAAAACTAGCTTATGTGGACTATGCTCGATTATACATATGTATATTGATATACACGTTTTATACATAGATTTATCCCAATTTTTCATTACATTCTTGTATGGTTTTAGGCTCTTTAGAGCCATTTTCCGCTATCATTCTCTTCTCTAGTGTGTTCGGTGTATTTTTATAAGTTTTACAGGAACTTGGAGTTTCTCGGATGATTCGGACACGTTTTGAGCGTTTTGGAAATGTTAGTGGACAAGGATGTAAAACCGAGCTAAACAAGAACCAGTCTTAGAAGAATTTGCAAGTAATGAGCATATTTTGTACTGTGCCCGATCGGGCTAAGCATGCCTGGTCTGACCGGGCACAGAAGGAATTCTTGGTTGATGTTATTCAGCAAACAAGGAAGCTATTTTAAGCTTTTATGCCACGCGCCCGATCGGGCAGTCCTTGCCCGGTTGGACCGGGCGCGTGGTGGCTGGAGGTGTTCAAGGCTACAAAGATCAGAAACAAGGCAGCCAGCAAAGAAGTGTGCCTCGCGCCCGATCGGGCACCATATGCCCGGTTGGATCAGGCGCTGAGGAAGAAGGCAAGAAAGAAACAACTGCTTATTTAATCCCACCTGCCCGATCGGGGTGTTATTGCCCGGTCTGACCGGGCAGTGTGTTGCGATTCCGGTTTTTATTATTTTCGAGTTTTTAGGTCATTAAGGGTATAAATACCCATTGTAATTATCATTTGTTCACACATTATTAATTCCTTAAGTTTTATTTCTTTCTCTAGAACCCTAGTTTATTACTTTTTAGCAATTTAATTTCTTCATTAGAATTGGGTATTGTTGATTAACAATTTGAGTAATTTCAATTGAAGCATCATTGGCATTCATCTCTATCTCTTTCTCTTTCAATTATTATTATTTTCAATTATGTTTTCCTTGATTATTTTTGTTATTGTTTATTTCAATATGAGTGAGTAGTTTTCTTATTCCAAGATCTAGGGTAGCCCAATTATGATTGATGCATGAATTAATTCTTTAAATTCTCTAATAACTATTGCAATTGTTTATGCTAAATTGATTGTGATTATGCCAATACTAGATTAGAGATAATTAGTATTGTTATTATTCCATAGTTCTAATCACAACGAGAGTTGGGTTTTAACGGATTTGAGTAGATCAATTTAGGGTTTGAATTTCATCACGAGAGTAGTTGAATTGATAATTGGGAAAAGAAGTAAAGTGTTTAATGTCTCTAATTTGCATGATTCCATGAGAATAGGTTTGATTGTATGTTAGGGAGGCCATTGATACTCGAGAGAGGTTCTTGGTATTGATTAGGGTTTACTTTTCCCCATGTTAATTGGAATTGTATGTTAGGGGTAGATATATAATTGCATTGATTGTAATTGTGGTGATACTTGATCTTGAATGTTTTAGCTTATTGATTTATTATATTCTTTTGATTTATTCTAGTTTTCCATACTTTAGCTCTTAGTTTATTCCACCATTGATTGATTCTTGCTTAGTAATTATTTGAGTCTAGATAATTTAGGTGAACCTTAGTCTCTTCGGATTCGACCCTTACTTGCCCAACTACATAGTTAGGAGGAATAGTTAGGTTATTTTTGTTAGGTACGCGACACGCCTATCATATTCAGTTATTAATATTTAGTATTTCAAAATCGGATATATATTTCAAAATCTCATATATAAAAGATATATTATACACCCGATCATCTACCTGAGTGCAAGATACATTTAAGGCATTTTTACTCGATCATTTGGATAATTATTGTTCGTTTAATCGTCAAGTGAGCAAATAATAGCTTTGGATGAAAGGTATACCTGAATGTATATAATAATTTTAATCAAAACCTACGTATTGAGACTTTTTTCCTAAGAGTGTTTTCAATATTTTATAAGGGTACAGTGTTTATAAATAAATTTGACACTTCTATTAAACTTAATTCCACATTATTAGAAATAATTTAAAGTAGGTACAATATTAATCGGCTCATTCCATAATATTTGGATAAGCTATTTTTGCAAGTATACAACAATGTAATTATGCATTTGTTAATATTATGGAATCCACTAATACTTATAAATAAATATTGTATTATATAATCTACATATAAAATTATCATTATAATTTGTAATCCGTGTATTGCACGGGCACTATACTAGTAGCCAATAAATGTGAAGTCTGAAACAATTTGATTCCTAAATTGCCTTAAAATTTCATTGTCACTAAATGGCTAAATTAACATATTCCCATACACCTTTCCCTCCATTAAATTAAAACTAAAAGGTAAAAGTAATGACAGCAAACTATGCAAAACTACTAAGCGTGTAAGCGTAGAGGTGTAAAACTCACAGGAACGACATCAAACAGGCAACAGAAATGGTCCCGAACAACCACCAGAGAGGAGGCAACTTCCTCGAATAGCCAATGCTTGAAATAGGTGCTACCATGGGTGGGTAGGGTTCAGCTTGAGGAACATTGCAGGATCCGAATGTCATGTTAGCCTGTTCACAGAACAATTACCAATTTAAATCACAAGCATAGTAACAGAACTCACAATCTAACATTTCTTTCAATCTACACAGCCAAACAAATTGGATGAGATGTTTCTTCCAGTGGCCCTCATCCTACTTTATACCATAGCATAGAGATTACTTCGTAGTTCGTAGTCCCCTCCAGTCATAATTGTCACAATCAAATGCATTTCAAATGACCGAATTTGTTACTCCATCTAAACCATAACTCTCTGCCTTTTCCAATCTTGTGATGTTCCAAAAGGGTGTCCCAACTTCATAGTTACTGCAATGATTTTACTTATTCATAATATGCCACTTCAGTTATTTGAGACAAGACAAACGATTTGAGTCATCCAATGCAATTGTCCATTGCGTAAGTCTAGAAACTTTTGACAAATTATTTGAAGTTAGTGCATTCAATGATCATGTTTACTTAAGCGGTAGTGTCAGGATGATTGTACTAATTAAAATCATTACAATTGATTTTAAAAGCTAAAACCCCATAATGCCTGATGCTTTTTTGATTCCAGCAACTCCAAGTATGAAACTTACAAAAGATTTTACTTACCCTGCACTGCACAATGCTGGCACATCCACAAACTAGATGACCGTTCATTTCATCTACAGCAGCTGGAGCTCCACCTCCATCACTTCTCTAAAGCATCGAAATAGGAAGATGGAACCAAATGAGCATATATTGAAGAGAAATGGTGGTAATAATAAATGTCATAAGGTTGTAGCAATTCATCATATTAAGTACCTTATAAAAATCAACAGTCACAAAATTGGCCCATCTTTTTCCTGATGCATTATAACAGGTGCCCAACATGCTTTCTAGTGGAGCTGAATTGTGCTTGCAGGCAATGGCTAAATCTGGTACAGTACGAAAATAATTGACCAACACTAGGGATATAGAGGTCGTGTTCATGGGACGTGATTCTGCACGATTAGGACATGAGCCAGCTACCATACCACCATCACCATCTGAATATGAAATATATGTTGATGAACTTGATTTAGCTCATTTGACATTGACTGCAAAACTGGGGTTATGAATTTATGTACTTACATTGATTTTCTAAGACATATCTCCAATTGTAGGCAATCCCTTCAGAAGCCTCTTTATTAGCTTTTGAAGAGAACACCAACAGCCGCTGGTTTTTCTGAATCATATCATCAACTATGGGCCAATTACCCCCATTTTTGGGCATTCGGGATACTGGAAACCAATACTTCCTGAGGCCAGCAGTATCAAACACCTTTGTCAGACCCTTGGGTGATGTAACATAATCTTCAATAAATATGGTGATAATCTCAGAAGGGTTAGCCTCAAGGAAGGTCTGCATCTCCCTCAAGACTTCTACTGCAGGTTTCTACAGAGTTATTTACAAAAATCAGTCAGATAAGCTATTCAAGAATAAAATCTTATGCAGTAAAGAAGACCAGAAATGGAGAAGTTAAGGTACATTAATAACAAGGTACCAGGCTTGTTTAGTCATGCTACAAATATTAAGTGCACATAGTCACATACAGACATACTTACAAAGGCTGTATTGTTGTAACATCTCCCACCAAAGGAGTGGCACAGCCAAACATCGTTGTTGAAGTCATACATATCAAGCATAAATCCTCTAACACCATCCTGTAAAATGGAAAAGTGCCAAACATCACTAAATTAGCTAGTCTTGGAAGTTTGTAACTTAGCAAATTTAGATCTTCAAAGAATATTACTTTGTAATTTTTTTTCTTAAACTTCCTCTGCCTTAGTTTTATTTATTTATTTATATTTTTCTAATGTTTAGCTCGGGTTGGACACGAGAGAAGAGAGCATGATCATGATATGAATGCCACAAGCATGTGGAAACAATTTGAAAGTTTTTTTAGCAAGTAAATCTCCCATAGAGAAACCAGTCAACAAGATAATTGTTACTCCGTGTTCAATTGTAAATAACGGCACCACTCGTAAGAGACAATCCAACCTGATATAAGCAGTAACAATGCAACACCGATTAAGAATTATATCAAAGCAATAGTACTGGATGAATAATTAAATTTAGAATTGATACTGTAATAACTCAGTGTGAATTTCAAGGCAGCATGGTCCATGAATCTAAATGTACCAGCATTTACTTTATTATTTCAAGTCATTTATTCAAGTAATTCTACTTCCCTTCTCAAGATGGCTACAAATTTATAGAAGACTCCTCGGATCATCGGTTTTATGATTTTATCATTATCAAGCTGTGCATCTAACATGTAATTCTACATAATCAATATTTATAGATCCAAATCACATCTTTAAGATGCATGTTTATCAATTAGGGCAGCAAAATTGGAACAAATGGAGTAATAATTAACAAACGTGCACGCAGAAACAGGATAACGCCAAATTAAGGGTCAAAGTATGCTTAATTGGTCACCAAGCCTGATTTTCCACTAAACTAACCTCACAAGTTCCAGTATTGGATAGGAACTCCAGAAAACCGGTTATCAACAAATGTTCCATAAAAAGTACACTTGTCTAAGAAATGAAGTTATAATACTTACAAAAGGAGAAGTGCAGCTTTGTTCGTGACCTAGGATTTATATTTTCTTTTTGTAAACAAAGTGATGCTTATTGCTTACATTATAATATTAGCATGGTGGTCTTACATTAGAAGTCAAGAGAAAACATCTACTGACCAACTTAACATGAGAATCATTCCTTAAAATTCTAAAAAGCAAAAGAAGCTGAATATTCCACAATAAAAATGACTTTAAATGGGTCGTCACTAGGCCTGGTTATTGGGTAGGGCTACCCAATGGCAAAAGGGTCGGGCCTAATACTAAAGGGTTTTGACCCTTTAATTTTTTAATGGACAGGGCTTTTATAGGGTCTTATTTTATAGGGTTTTTATAGGGTTTTATTTTATAGCCCAATAATTTAATAATTAAACTAAAGAGCCCAATAATAATTGTAAGGGTCAGCAGTCAGCTACTACCTCTCTTCCATTTTCTCTCTCCTCCATTTTCTCTCTCCTCCATTGAAGCCACTCAGAGTTCTCCATTGAAGCGCAACTTCAGAGTTTTCCATTAAAGCACTCAGAGTTCTCCATTGAAGCGCAACTTCAGAGTTCTCCATTGAAGCGCAACTTCATAGTTCTCCATTAAAGCGCACTCAGAGTTCTCCATTGAAGCGCACTCAGAGTTCTCCATTGAAGCGCACTCAGAGTTCTCCATTGAAGCCGCGCACTCAGAGTCTCAGGTAACATCATTTTCTCTCTCTTAATCTGTTATTCAATTTTAATATCTGATTGAAGATCCGGTTTAGGTTATATAATGTGATCGAAAATCAATTCAAATTGGATTTTCTTCTGGGTGATTTTGCTTCTTACTTGAGCTTGGAGAGTGATAAAAGGATTGTGGGTAATTTTGCTACTTATGAGTCTGTTGTTCTTGGTGTTGCTAATGCTGATTTATTTTGGTGTTTTTAATTATAATTTGGGAGTTTTTTTTGCTTGATTATAATTGTGTTTGATCTGAACTCATGGATGAATGATTATAACCCTTAATTTTGTGTGCTAATCATGTCACATATTTTCTGCACTTGTGCCATTGAATGTTTTCATTTCTATATTAGCTACAATTTGAAAATACTTGAATTAAATCAAACCAATAAAGGCTTGATAAAGTATACTATTAATCCATCTATATATTCATACAAAGCCCATATTATCTACTAATATATGTAGTACTTTGAATGAATATAATGTGACTAAGCTGATGATTTAATTATAATTTGGGAGTTTTGCTTGATTTGATTATAGTAGTATAAGAATTGACTAAACTAGCATGATTATAGAACGAGAAAGCAAATGTGGTACTTGTGTGTTGACTGTTAAGGTTAGTGTAGTTGTGATACTACTACTACTACACTGAATTGGAGGCTGGACACTTATAAAATTTAACTATGTAGTACAAGTAGTATTTGTTTTATTACCTTAGCAAAGCACAACAGACCATATAAGATTCTGTTTTCGGATTTTGCTATTCTCCTGATCGAACTCCTAAATGTGCTGGCAGGGCAAAACAATTAATATGGATGATGATACTACTACTACTACTTCTACGGCACGTGATGATGGATATAATGAATACATTACTCCGCAACGAAAGAGAAAGAAGAGGTCTAAAGTTTGGAGAGAGCTTATTGAAGGGAAGAATGTTCAAGGTGAGAGAATTGCTACATGTGTACATTGTAATTCTATTTTATCTGCAAATCGTGATAGTGGAACATCTCATTTGAAGCGTCATTTAGAGAGGTGTGCAAATAGGCCTCTAGGACTTACATTTGAGGAAGATAGTGATGAAGAAAATTTTGTTTTTGACATGAATGAACTTCGAAAAGAGATTCTTAATTTCATTGTTGAGGGAGGTCATTCATTCACTATGGTTGAAGAACAAGGATTTAGGAGAATGATGAAAAGAGCTACCCCTAAGTTTAAACCATTTGGTCGTGCAACCACAAAGAGAGATTTATTGAAGGCTTATGTATTGGAGAGGGATAAATTGAAAGATTTCTTGTCTAATGTTTCGGGTAGAATTTGTTTAACAACCGATAATTGAAAGATTTCTTGTCTAATGTTTCGGGTGAATTATCCTACTTCTAATGTGTATTTTAAAGGTGCATGGATGGTGCATCGCCATTTGCTTGAGGCGGAGAAAGGTCCTTATGATTATTTAAAGGAAATGGTGAAACCAATGCTTGAAAAATTTGACAAGTATTGGTCGGATTACAATTTTTACTTGTCATGTGCCGCCATTCTTGATCCGAGGTACAAAGTGAAATTTGTGGAATATTGTTTTAGTAAGTTATATGGAAGTGTAGAGGTCTCAAGACGAATTAACTTGGTGTTGGGAACTATGAAGTCAATGTTTGAGGACTATAAGTTGCAATATGCTAGTAGTTCACCTATTGTAGTTGCTCCTTCTCCTCCTAGTACTTCCGGAGCTAGAAACTACTTTGATGATTATAACCATTTTGTCGGTACTAGTGCAAGATCTCAAGTAGGAAAGTCACAACTTGAGATGTACCTAGATGATGATGCTTTAGATCTCAATTCACAATTAGATATTTTGGAGTTTTTGCATCAAAGTTCTGTGAGGTATCCTGTGGTATCTAAGATGGCACGGGATTTGTTGACTATTCCTGTAAGTACTGTAGCTTCGGAGTCTGCTTTTAGTATTGGAGGAAAGACTGTTTCGGCATCGCGAAGTTCATTAAAGTCAAAAACAATTCAAGCTTTAGTATGTATGCAAGATTGGCATCGTGAAAGCAATCAAGTAGAGGTTGATAGTGAACTTGAAGATGAAATCATTGAAGAAGAAGAGGATGATGATGCAGACCCTTTCTACTAGGTAATATTCTCTTGTTCATTTCTCTACTAATAGTTCTGTTTTTTAGTCACCTTACATTAAAGTAGTAAAGATTTGCTTGGTAGTGGTTGTTTCTGTCCTTGCTGGGTGCAACTTATGTCTGACTTCTGTTTTTTTTTTTTTTTTTTTTCTTTTTTTTTTTTTTTTTTTTTTTCCTGCTGGGGGCTGCAGGTCTTGTTTCTGTGTGCTGCTGGCTTTTTGGTTCTGTAGTTGCTTGTGTTGGTGTGGCTGGGAGGTGCTTTGTAGCTGCTGCTGTTGCTGGAGGCTGTTCTGAGTTCATGAAGCACTCAGAGCCAAAGAGCTTGTTTCATTCCTACTGCTGCTTCATTCTTTTGTGGTATCTGAGAACATTTGCTAAAATGTTGGCAATGAACTAGACCATTCTAGTAGTATTTCGTAAATCTAGAAACTAGTATATTACAATTGATGTAACAGGGTTAGTACTCTTGGTGAACTTATTTTGGCGTGCTGGTTTTCTCTACACAGGCTCTACTTCTGGTTTTATTTTGATGTGAAAGATTTTTATGAGACTTTGATCCTGCATATATCTTTGTCTGAGCACAAGTATACTATTTAAAGATTAGTATACCATTTAAAGATTAGTATGCTATTTAAAGATTAGTAGAAGTTAATGGCCCGTTAATGGCCCGTTTTACTTTTACCCCGACCCTGACCCGACCCTGACCCGCATTGACCCTGACCCGACCCTGACCCGCTAAATATTCATCATGACCCGCAACCGACCCACCCCGCTAATGACCCGCACCGACCCGCACCGACCCGCCCAATAACCACCCCTAGTCGTCATTTTGCCAGTCTTTCTTTTTGCAGCTTATCAGCATGTCCACGTAAGAGCAGTTGTAGCACATTTCTTTGTAATTGTTATAACATATTACGCGTCTAACTTCGTATACCATTGTGCATATGACATTAATCAACAAGGTTAAAATAATTAGGACACGGCATATCTAATACCATCAAGACTTTGATTATACTAATTTAAATAACTACTACGAATGTGAATAGTAGTAAAGCTAGCCTCAACCCTCCTTATCCTTCCATCTTTCTATTCCTTCAATATTTTGAAATATACATCTCCTAATATCCCAACTATGACTAACACTAGAAACCACTCATTTAATGAAACAGCATAATGAACTTAAAAAACCTGAAGCAACCAACAACTTTCGGTAGCTATCTAATTAAGACATTCCATTTTAAGACGTACATTCGTACAATTTCCATATAGTGATTGTCATCAAGAAGAGAACTCCAAATTCACCAATAAAGTTCTTACTTCTTAATTAGAAACTCCACAACTCTATCCATTCATCGAGTTTGATGTCACAATAGGCACAAATTCAAATCAGTTGCATATCTTTACAAGTAATCGCAATTAAAATCAAATTCACTCATTGTCCTTATCAACTCGAAATTTCCAATCCACGTTATTAGCATGTAAAATCCTCCCTAAATATTTTTCGATATTTCAATAGTCATACATCCTAATTGTTTACAGTAGTCAAAATTAAAGTGCAGCATTAATAAAAATCAACATCTCATCAACCACTCCAGCATTATGCTTTCACATTTAAAACGCTACTAGCACAAACAACAAACCGCAAAATCAACAATTTATTTCACTTAATTTCGATTAATTAAACATGCAATTAAAAATAGCAAGTTCAAAACCCTAAGATTATGAGCAATTTTATTCAAAAAAATTAAAAATCATAGAAAAATCTTACGTTAAGCTGAGACGTAACAGAATCCTGCTGATTAGTAGGAGCGAGAATTACGGCACCAGTAGCCGATTTCTGGCCGAGTCTAGCGAACGAGTTATGAGTCGTTAACCACGAGTATCTGTTAAACGGCAATCCTTTCACCTTCAATAATTTTTCAAACAAAAAAACACTTCATGAACATCTTCTTCATCATCAACAATTAAATAAAGATAAAATAAAAATGTGATGAAAAAGAGGAGAGAGAAAATGACCTTAGAGAGAGGATTAACAGGTTGAATGCGAGTACAGCGAGGGCGAAGATTACGATTTGCGACGCAAGTTTCGCAGTGAAGTCCTTGATCGCAATTTCGATCAGCAGCGCATGTTTGTCCGAGTTTCTGCAACAATTGACAGTAAAATGAACTGAAATTTCGAAATTCTACTGAAATAATGGAATACAGAAGAAGATAATTTCGAATTTCAGCCAAAAAAGAGAGTGAGAAAATACCAGAAGAGCAGAGGTGAGGTTGAAGAGGAGAGAGAAAATGAGGAGTGCAGTTAGAATTGTTCTGGTTATTTTCTGCAAAATCGAGAGGTTAGAGAAGAAGATTAAAGAGAGAGAAAGTTAGAGAGAGAAGGAGGAGAGAGAGTACCTTGGGCGCCATAGTTGGAATTTTGAGTTACTGAGGAAAAAGCGGGTGAATAAATGAATGTTGGTTGGATTTTGTATTTAAAAGAGAGAGAGAAGACGTGTATGCGTGTGTTGGAGCCAGGGAAGGAGGGGGAGTCTTGGGGAAAGAGAGTAGTTGGAAATTTAATTTTGAGGTTAAATAGTGGAGGTTATGGTGGTAATGTTCATTTTGTAGGTTGTTAAGCTTGGTTAAGCCGTTATGATGTCCATTTTATCAATAGTATAATTGGGAATGACCGAATGACAGTTATTTGTACTTCATTCATATACACGAATTTACGGATTAAATTATAATTAGTAATATAGAGGAAATTCGGTCAATGTTATAGGTTTACTCTGTTATTTTAAATGTTACTTAATAAGTATAAATAAAGAGTTATTTGTTAGTATAATAGGGGTTACTCTGTTCCTTTTTTTGGTAGGTGGTCATACAGTGTGGCCAACTGCATAGAAAATATGTTGTTTTTCTTTGGACTACCGTACCACACTTTTCTTAGAGTATTAACGATAAGTGGATAGAATTGGGTTATTTTAGAATTGGATAAATAAGAAGTTATTTGTTAGTATAATATGTCTTTTTAATAAGTTACTTGAAGAAAAGATTAATAAAGATAAAGAAATCACTTAGAGTACTAACGATAAGTTAAGTGGATAGAATTGGGTTATTTTAGTTAAACTTATGTTAGATTATAGTTTATCTATTTACCTAATTACTTCTTTAAATAGCATTACAAGGTTGTTACAATTATTATTAACAGAGGCCAAAGATAGCATAGTGCCATCAGCGGATCAGCCATACCATGTAAAGCCATTTGTGATTTGTCATAGATGCTTCCACCTCGGTGTAGGCATTTCATGCAAACACCACCATTTATTTTTTTTTTATTTTTTTTTGACAGTGGTTATAAATAAAATAAAGAAGTGTTAGAAATGTCACCGTATTAGGATACTATGGTGGTTGTATCTTGTATGTCGGCTGATGTTGTTCATGATGATGGCTAGATCAGATGCGGTGATGGGAGTTGAGAGAATAGATATATGTCGTGTGGTGGTGGTTGTTAGTTGATCGTTAATAGTGGTGGTGGGTTTAAGGGGTGATGTGTTTTGGGCATTAGAGAGACTTAAGAGAGGGGGTATGATAGTAGGCGGGAGATTTTTAAAAGTTGCTAGATCGTATCAGTTACGATTTGTTTGGATAACAAAGTGGTTAGAGAAAGGGAAGGGAGAGAAGAATAAGGAAGGGGGAGGAATGAAAGGGGAAGGAGAAGGTAAGGTAACATTTTTCCTCCAAATCTTTTCAAGATTGGAAGGATTAGTTTATTAAAGAGAGAGGGAAAATGAATCCCTTCTTTTCTTTTCTCTTCCTTTCCCTCCTATTCTCTCAATCCAAACAAAGTATAATGTGAGACAACACATTAACACCCTAATAATTAAAACAAAGTCTACATCTATAAGAATAGAGAGAATATTTGTCGTGTCTTACCATTACTCAAAAGTAAGTATATATACATAGAAGATTACTAGTGTTAAGCTAAAGCTAACTATGGAAAGATATACACTTACCAAAAATTATTTACATAATCTATGACACCCCCGCAGTTAAAACGGGAGGTTTACGAACGTTGAGACTGTCCCAAAAATCATCAAATAAAACCTTAGGCAGACCTTTGGTGAATATGTCTGCTATCTGGTATAGATATGGCACATGTAGGACACGAACTTCGCCCCATTGTACTTTCTCACAAATGAAGTGAATGTCCATCTCAATATGTTTAGTTCGCTGATGTTGTACCAGATTACTAGAGAGGTAAATGGCACTAACATTGTCGCAATAAACTAATGTTGCCTTTGTAACCGGACAATGTAGTTTTAACAATAAGTTTCGAACCCAACATGACTCTAAGATAACATTTGCAACCCCTTTGTACTCTGCTTTGGCACTAGACTTCGACCTTTTAGAAGATAAAGAAATCAAGTTATCACCAAGCTAAGAAAGACACAATAACCTGATGTAGACCGATAAGTGTCAGGACACCCACCCCAATCGACATCCGTATAAGAAAGAAGAGAAGTAACGGATGACTTGTATAAATGCAAACCATAATCAGGGGTACCTTGACTATAACGAATAATTCGTTTCAAGGCATTCATGCATGTGAGCAACCTGTGGAGCATGCATAAATAAGCAAACCTGTTGCACAGCATAGGAAATGTCCTAACGAGTGAATGTCAAGTACTATAACACCCCACATAGAGAACGATAAGTAGTAGGATCATCATATGGAGTGCCGGATGGAGTACTCATTTTTTCTTTTGAATCAACAGGAGTGGAAGACGGGTTGCAATTCACCATACCTTCTTTCTCAATATGTCATGAGCATATTTCTTTTGAGACAAAAATAAGCCATTTTTGTTTCGAGTGGCAATACCCAAGAAATAACTCAAAGGACCCAAATCTTTCATTTCAAATTCAGAGTTTAGTCGAGAAATGACAAGTTTCAGAAGGGACTCTGAAGAAGCAGCGAGCACATTATCATCAACATAAAGAAGAATGTAAGCAATGTCATTACCATGGCGGTAAATGAATAATGAAGTATCTGATTTGCAGTGAACAAAGCCAATGGATGCCACAAATTCAACAAAAACGTTGATACCAAGCTCGGGGTGCCTGTTTCAAACCATAAAGAGACTTTCGCAAAAGACATACATGATCAGGTTGAGCTGGATCTTTGAACCCCAAAGGTTGATACATGTATATACTGTTTCATTCAAGTTACTATGTAAGAAAGCATTCTTCACATCCAATTGATAAATAAACCAAGACTTGGACAAAGCAATGCTAAGCATGATGCCAAAAAGATGGTGGCATGGATGCATGACAGAGAAGAGTACGAACAATATTAATGATCATTTTTATTTTTCTTTCGGCCTTGCCATTTTGAGGAGAAGTATAAGGACAAGATAGACGGAAAGTCATCTCATGTTGTTAACCAATTTTTTCAAATTTTAAATTTAATTTAGTACCGTTGTCACATTGGAAAGCCTTAATATCTCTCTCAAATTGGGTGCGTATATATGTTCAAACACGAATAAAAAGATTGTAGACTTGAGACTTAGAAGATTTTGGAAAAGTCCACAAAAAAATTGTGTAATTGCCATAAAAGAGAGCATAATATTTATGGCCAAGAGAACTAAGAACAGGAGAGGTCCACAAATCACTGTGTATAATATCAAATGGCATAGTACTATAGTAGTGTGAGACATGGAATCGTAAAATGACGATTTTATTAATTTATCCAAAGGGCAAGAATGCCATACATGTTTAGCCTTATTACATTGAATTAAATTACTACTACGCAATGAACTAAGAATTGCATTTCCCGGATGACCTAGACGGGAATGCCACACACTAGGAGAATTTACTGCAAAAGTTGACAGAGTGGAAGTTGAAAAGACTTGGCGATCAGTGAAGAAAGGATAGAGATCGCCACTGTTATTTCATCTCACTAGCTTGCTCCCCGTCTGCAAGTCCTTCACAGAAAACCCAAAAGAATCAAACTAATTGGAAACATTATTGTCAATAGTGAATTTCCTAACGAAAATGAGATTTTTAACTAGTTTTGGGACATGGAGGACATTTTGGAGTTGTACGTAGTGTGTTTCGGTTTAAAGATTTGTGACCATAACCATTAATAGGAATTTTACTACCATCACCAACAATAATTGCATTATTATGACTATTGCTCAAAGGAAAATATGATGACAAGTTACCTTAAGAGTTTGTCATGCATTACTAGAAACAGTCAAATTCTAACGGACACATTATTTCGTCTGAAAAGTCGAAATTTCCGACGGATTATAATTTTAAAAAAAAGAAAAAAATAAACTCCTTTAGAAAACCCTTAAACCCTACTCTTTTCCACCTCTTCTCTCTTTCCCCTTCTCCTTCTCTTTGTCTTTCCTCTTCTCTCTCCTCTCTCCTCTCCTCCTCTCTCCTCTTCGTTCTCTGCTATCTCTTCTTCATTCTCCTTCTCTTTCATCTTCTGCACTCTCCTCTTCGTTCTTCTTCTCTCTCCTCTTCTTTCCCCTCTTTCGACCACTTTATATCTCGCACCACCACTACCAACACTAATCATCACTGCAACGACAACACCACCAAGACCGACATCATCATCATCAACAACAACAACAACAACAACAACAAAAACAACACCGACATCAACAAATTAAAAACAACATCGACATCAACAGTAATTTCCGCCTTTTTCGCACTTTCTCTCTCCTCATGATGAAAATAAAGGTTTTTAGGTCAAATTCGACCATGAAAACTCTAGATCTAGAGTTTTCATGGTCGAGTTTGGCCTTTTATTGTTGTTTTATCAGAATTTTTTGAATACATATGGTTGTGGTGGATGTTGGAGTTCGGGTTTTGGGGATTGGGTTGGGATTATAATTTTTTTTTTGTTAATTTTTGGGTTGTGATTGTTTCGGCGGCGACGACAGTTTTAGGTGGGTGGTGGGGTGGTTTGTTGTGGTTCATCCGATTTTGTTAGGGTTGGGGTTGTAGATCCGAGTTCGTTTTGGTGGGTTAGGGTTAGGTGGGTAGGGGTTCTGGTGGAGGTTGGGTAGTGGGTGGTGGTACAGGTTAGGGGGGCTGGTGATACAGGTTAGGAGGGCTGGTGGTGTGGGGTGGTAGGGGGTGGTGGGGGTGATTTTTTTTTTTGTTTTTTTAAAGCATTTTCCGATAGAATTTCCGTCGAAAATTTCCGGGCCGAGAAATCTCTGCCGACGGATTGAATTCCGTCGGAATTTCGGTCGAAAAAGGTCGTTTTTCCAACAAACTGTTTTCTAACGAAAAAATTCCGTCATGATTTGCCTATTTTCTAGTAGTGATGTGAGAGGTAGCATCGGTATCCATGTAATAGTTCGGATCGGACAAAGTCATAGTGTGCATCGCTTGTTCAATATTGGTTGGCATGTAACCTGAAGACGATGGACCTGATGCCTGAGGTGGGCGTGGCCCGAGGACACCAGACTGATTTGTAGGCTAGGATGGCCTAGCTGCTGCCCATGGAAAAGGGTTTGGTCCCTGCGAAGGATATGGGCAGGGGGGGAGAGCCTAAGGGCCCTGCTGCCAATAAGCCCAGGGCAGAGGATACATTTATCCTGCTTGGGCTTGCTGCTGCTGTTGCGAGGTGGGAGGACCACGCTGCTAGTTGCCGGTGCTGTCTTTTCCCT